AAATATAAGAGATTCCAGATCTCCTGAAACCGAGAACATCATTAAATAATAATGATTTTTATAGCAATGAATAAGTAATTCTTGATATGCGAACTATGATTTTATTTTTGCATAACCTCTCATTATTTGTATATGTCGAAAATATAAATATAAATATGCTTTTGCTATTGACGATAACTCAAAATTTTACATTATTACTTGTAAATAGATTATACGATAATCGGGATAAAATTTCTGATAACTAAAGAAATCTAATTTAATCTAATTTGTTCTTCTTTTATTTATTTGCTTGTATATTCGTTTTTCTGGTAAAAAACAATTTAAAAAATAATTATAAATATACTAGTATCTTCATTTGTCGATAAACCAGATTACTTGATTTATTTGTACATCTAAATTTTTTATTTATGCCAATTAAGTACTGACAATGGAACTGAAATTTTGCGTTAAATCTACTTGAAAAATATTTTATCCATTTTTTTAAAATCTTTTGATTGAGATGATAAATTTAAAACAATTTTAAAAATACTACTAAAATATTGACTATATCTGATATTTTAGGCACATGTAAAATATTCATGTTCGCTTATGATAATATTGGCATTGTATCTTTGAATAAATTAGTTATATTTCACAAATATCTAGAAATTGCGATGGATAATTATAAAATCGTCTCCAAATTGTCACGCAAGAAAATTTACAAGGCTCTAGATAGTAAATAAATACTTGGAACATTAAATAATTGGAATTTTTGTTTGTATATAACTACATATTCCAAAACAAATATAAGTTTTTATGTATTCTTATCCCTAAAAGTTATGTAAGAGGATCAGTAGAGTTCTATGCAACCTTTTGGACACATTTTTAAAAATTATTAAGGATAATTGTTTTTATACTTTTCATATCATTAGATTTTCTTGAACTAAAATTCTATTATATTTACAGATATAATACAGGGTGTCACCTAACGAACGTTACATACTTTAAGGGTATAATCTAGAACCCAAATGGTGTCGATTTAACCAAACTTGCTTTAACGAAATATATCGAAAAAAAAGTTACAGGGTGTTAAAATTTCCTTTTTTTCTTGTTTTCTCCTTAATTCAGAAGTTAACCAATTTGAGCCAAATTTACTGTTGCTCAGTTTCTTTTTATGAAGTATGCAGTGGTTATGTTCCTATTAGTTTAAATCATACAGGGCGTTCATTTTACTACAACCCTCTGTGGATATTCTTCTGTAACTTTTTTGTACGTTTAAATTTTTACACGCAACTATAATAGGTAGAGAATTTTCTTCTACACAAAAAATGTATACCTATTAAAAGTCAAAATTATGCTCGGTTATGAAGATATTACAGAAAATATTTATTAACAACACACTCCATATTTTTTGGGAATAACTACGTATCCATAACATGATAATTTCGAGCCACTGTCAACTTTGTATTTTGCAAAAGTTTGTTTCTGAAAATGCCTCGTTACAATGAGTTTACGAATTATGAAATGAGAGACATGATAGTGGTAGGTAGGTATATGTACAGAAACATTTTTAGTGGATGCGCTGCTAAGAAAAGTTATGAAGAATTTTATCCGAATCGCAGACAGCCTTATCATACATTGCTTCTTTATTCACCATCAGTTTGGGAGAAACTGGAAACTTTTAATACCCGGTAACTTTTTTGCGACATTTTTTTAAGCAGGTTTGGTTAAATCGACACTATTTGGGTTCTAGATTATACCCTTGAAGTATGTAACATTCGTTAAGTGACACCCTGTATAAATACATTTAATTTTCCGCAAGTATTTTAATTTTCTTAAAAATTTCGATAAACCTGTTTTTATATGAAGTATAAAAGGAATTGTCGTAGATATCTTTTTAAAGTGATGGGCTTTTGTGTTTCTTATTTCATATCCTGATTTTGCAGAACTTTTAATATGTCTACATTTTGTTCCATTCAAATATCTTAATACCAATATAAATCGCAATAAAAAGAACTAATTATGATCACCCTACATTGCGTTTTTTTCTTTCTGAAAAGTTGACTAAGTTACCATCAACAATGTTGTCTAAAACTTCATGGCTATTATATTACTTTTGCGATATTGTTTGTATTTGTATGCAACAGTTTTAAAATGCTAAATGTAATTATCGGATTGATAATAAGGATTATAAATTACATGTTTAAACGTGTAGATATTTAGGGACATACTTTTTACACATATAAATATGAGCTCTTTGTCTATCGTCAATAAGTAAGAAGCTGGTCTTCATTGTTAATGGGTAAGTTACATTATCAGTATTAATATGTGTAGTTCAATGAATATGTATGTCTTTTAAAAAGCGCAGTTGTAGGTAGGGTATACACAAGAGTAAAATGTTTCGATGTTATCTTATATATTCGATAAAATATTATATTATCATTACTGTTATCATTAAACATCAGTATATTTCAAATGACCTTATACGTATTTAGTTTAGAAGTATATTGTATATGTTTGTATAGTACATCTAAATTTCAGCGATCCTAAAACATTGTCAAATCTACTCATCAGAATACAGCTAGTTTAGTAATAATTGAAAAGGCACAATTAATAGACCGATCAAAATAACTCATTTAGAGGGAAAAAAAAAGAAACTTGTTACCTGGACTTTTATAAGTGGAAATGGTAAAGGGATTTCTGGCGAAAGTTGACGTCAAACAAAAAAGTATCCAAAAGTTGTAGATCATGAAAAAATCTACAACTTTTGTAGAGATCACTTTATAACATAACCTCAAAATTTCCGAGAAAAATGCAAAGAACAGTTTTTTTTTCTGATTTTTGGTTTTTTATTTCTCATTTCCGCAAAAATAATTTAATTTTGACGAAACTAGGTGAAAGTATACCTTTCTCTATCTTAAATAACCTCAAATTTTTTTAGATAAAAAAATGAAGTAGTTTCTGAGATATTCATTTTTTTCGGCCTGAAACACTTTTTTTCAAAGAAAAATTCTACTTTAAAAAATCATCGTACAGAATTCTGCTGGTAATAATTTTTTTCGTTTTGACATACTTTTTGGTGAAATAAAAAAAAATTGTAATCACAGCTCAAAAACATGCTCAAAAATGCAAAAAAGTAAAAAATTACTTGCAGCAATGAATTTTTCAGTAATTGTTGATAATTTGTTTAAATTTAAAAATAAATCAAGAACTGATTACACCATGCATTCAATTGTACGGAAAAAGTACAAAAAAACTGTCTCATTGTTTGACCCAAAACTATTTTTATACAGTATTGCTATAAACATAAGTCGAATAGTGAATAAATAAAATAAGTAAATAATATATTTTTTTAAAAGTTTGATGAAGTCAGATATACAGTGAGTTCAAGATAAGAATGGGATAGCATTAGGATCTAGGAAACGGTAAAAGGTACGAGGTGGCTCAGATTAGAAAAAAGTTGTGTTTTTTTATACCTAATAATATGATGTTTAGAAAGTTTTAAAATTCCGGGTAGTTCCGGGGATATCCGAAAAAACCCGAAATTTTGCTAAATTATTTAATTTTTTCTGACTTTATTTGAACACGAATTTTAAAATAAATTACATATTTACAATGCCATTTTTTTCGCTCTATACAATGGCGTCAACATTTTTGCAATCCGACGTTTCGTCTTCGAGGGGCCATCATCGGGTTAATTTTAAATACGTCGATGCTATTTTTATGACAAAATCTAGTCATTTTTAATTTTGAATTAGAGGATATTACTATTGTAATCGCTTAAAAAGTTTGTAGCTTGTTTTAGCTATAATTTAAAATTTCTCCTACGGCTCTGAACGCTTTCAAAATATCTATTGGATGAAGTCATAACAGTATAAAAGTCAATACCGCACAAAATATTCAACAATTTTTTACTACTGTTAGCAATACGAATTAGAAATAAAATATTTTATAAATTCGTATAATTTTTTTAGTAGGTACAACTTTTTAAATTATGGTTTAAAAAAATTGTTGGATATTTTGTGCTGTATTGACTTTTATTCTATCCTCTCTCTCTCTCTCCTCCAATAGATACAGGTATTTTGAAAGCGTTCAGAGCCGTACTCAGGAAAAATTTTTAATGATAGCTAAAAACCTTTTTAAGCGATTACAATAGTAATATCATCTAATACAGAATTAAAAATGACTAGATTTTTTCATAAAAATAGCAGCGATATATTTAAAAAAATTAATCTAACGATGGCCCGTCGAAGACGAAACATGGGATTGCAAAAATGTTGACGCCATTGGATAGCGCGAAAAAAGTGGCAATGTAAATATGCAATTTATTTAAAATTTGTTTTCAAATAAAGCCAGAAAAAAATTAAACGATTTTGCAAAATTTCGGGTTTTCAGATTTCGCGTCAACAGTAGACTTTGCAGTTAATACTTTATATTGCTGAAATCTTAAATCATCCGGAGATAATTTATCATTTGTGCATTTGTAATTCGACTTTGATGTTTATAACAATACTGTACAAAAATAAAGTTTTGTCAAACAATGAGACAGTTTTTTTTCCGCAGAATTGAATGGTGTAATCAGTTTTTGAATGTTTTATAATTTAAACAAATTATCAACAATAACTGAAAAATACATTGTTGCAAGTCATTTTTTATTTTTTTTTTGCATTTTTGAGCATGTTTTTGAAATGTTATTACAAATTTTTGTATTTTACCAACAAGTATGTCAAAACGAAAAAAATTATTACCGGCAGAATTCTGTACGATGATTTTTTTAAGTAGAATTTTTCTTTGAAAAAAAGTGTTTCAGGCCGAAAAAAATGAATATCTCAGAAACTTCTTGATTTTTTTATCTAAAAAAATTTGACGTTATTTAAGACTGAGAAAGGTATACTTTCACCAAGTTTCGTCAAAATTAAATTATTTTGCGGAAATGAGAAATAAAAAACGAAAAATCAGAAAAAATCCTGTTTTTCGCATTTTTCTCGAAAATTTTGAGGTTATGTTAAAAAGTGACCTCTACAAACGTTGTAGATTTTTGCGTGATCTACAACTTTTATTAGATACTTTTTGTTTGACGTCAACTTTCGCCAGAAATCCCAATGATACAATTTTTCATAACTTTTCAACCCCCCAAATCAACCCTCCGCCGCCCCTGCTCACGCATTTATTTTTTTAGGTTTATTATAAGCCCGTTTACCATTTCCTCTTATAAAAGTCCCGGTAACATTTTTTTTTTCTCCAAGCGTAATTTGGTTGGACTATAATAGATGTAACTATAAATATTTTTTGGCATCACTAAAAAGACTAATTTTGTTTTATGTAGTATTTTCTAGTTGCTGAAGTTCAGCATGAAGTTCATTGAAATGCTTTTCGTTGTGTTGGTGGCCGTTTTTTGGCTGCCACAGACTGTCCTGAGCTGTGCTCCCAATGGTACTCCTTGTCAGCCAGACGGAAGTACTGATTGCTGCTCCGGATTCTGCTACAAGCAAGTAGGGTGGAGGGAAGGAAACTGCAAGGACCGTTAAACCCTAACAGAAGTTTTGAATCCCATCCCATAATATGAAAAATGTAGTTTCAGTTATGTGTACTGCATAATAAACAGCTTTATCTAAATATTCATATTATCATTTCACCCCCATTATTTTCGACAACCTTCTTAATCACTGACTTCACATCTAATACCTATAGAAACGTTCCCGTGTTTATATTTCTGTGAATCTTATATTAACAATTTTCAAATTATTCAATACAAATCTTTTCATTGGAAAAAGGGGTACAGATTTTATTTCATACTCAATAAAAGCTTGGTACATATAAATAGTTCAAAGAGAAGCCATATTCAGCCAAAATCTTGAGACGGATTTTCTGTTTCAATGCATATAAAATATATTACCATTTGTAAAAAAAAGTGAAAGTGCTTTTCGTATACATTTTGTTAATGTTTTCTAAGCGATTTGATCAAATCAATTCAAATTTCATATCTCTTTTTAAGGAGACTCACATTTTTCGAGAAAATTACAAAATATTATTTTGCAAACTGATTTGGCAATTTTATTAGCCTGTCTCCCAGAATGCCATACCAATTCAAGACTTTAAATTAAAGTATAGCTATCTTCAACAGCTACATGTGGGTTCTATCAGGTTAAAATATGCGTGTTATGTAAATTTGAAAATTCCTTCCGTCGTAAATATGTACTATCTCATTTGTAAGAAAGGTGAATGCTACCAAATTAGGATTAAATTGTTCTCTCGAAAAGCAACTGCAAAATGTTAATCTGATATCCTAGACTGATGGGTTGAGTGCTTGTACGCGTTGGATATATACAGGTTCGGAAAGTCCCCATGGTACCACGGCCGTTACGTGAGAGCGATAAAGTAAGTCATAGAAATCCGTGCGATAGTCAAGGATGGTTACATTGAAGACGTTTCATAATCTGAATAGTCAGTCCCACTTCTATCCCGAAACGGACAGTGACTATTCAGATGAAACGTCTTCACTATAGCCATCCTTGTCTATCGCACTACTTTACTTTGTTGCTCTCATGTAAAGGCAGATGGACCATATGGATTTTTCAGCCCTGTATGTAGCTGTCCTCTACGGATTCGCCAATTAAGAGGTTGACATAGGGCCAATTCCCACATAGCAGCGCCGCAGCAGAAAATGCAAATGCTGCTCCTAAAAATATCTATATTTTTAAATGGAACAGTTCCCACATAAGCAGCACAGCGCGGCTGGAGCGTAGCGCGTCAAAATTCAACGCCTCTGAGAGCGTTCCTGAAAGGCCAATTCCCACATAGCAGCGCCTCATAGCGTCGCTGCGGCGACAAAATTAAAAGTAGAAAAGTAATATTATTCATAAAAACAAATATAACATTTTTATAAAAACAGATCTAACATAATATAAGAACACACAATAACTAGGGTTATCGACCATCCGGAATTTCGGTAGACGTCCACAGATGTTCTGCATTCTGCCATGACTTCTTACACGACGCCAATAATTGTCATTAATTTTACACTTTTGTATATTTTCCTAAAATAAACAATATGTTTTACAATTAGGTATTGATTTAATAAAAAAACAGCTAGATTTAACATAAAAAAGTAAACAGAAACGCCCAGAAAATTTTATGTTATACTATACAGAGTGTTAATGAACTTATGTCAAATATTTAAAGGGGTGAAATAGGAGCAAAAACTGAGTTAACTGATGCCACAAACTTGTATCGGAAGATTAAGGCCATAGAGAAAAAAGCTAATTAAAAATGTGTTTAAAACTGTTTTGGGACTGCTAAAATACATGTATTTTATCGCGGCGAGTACTTACAAAAAATGCTGTATCGCTTTATACGAGTTTATAGACTTTTTATGAAGCCTGACTGTATTCGAATCAGTTTGTAATACATTGTTGTAATGCTTGCTGTGCTGTTTTTCTGTAAATTTAATAGCCGTATTTCCAAGTTTTATTTTGAAAATGGCGCATTTATTTAGCAATCGCGAATATTATGATATGCTTATAATTTATGGTGTAAGAAACGAAAATGCCCACAGAGCTTGTCAAGTGTGCCGTGCAAGATATCCTGAACGACGTGCTCCCGCACCGCGAACATTTGTTGCGGTAGCGAAAAGAGTTTTGGACACCAGTGAAGTACAACCGCGTTGAGGTCGCGATGGTGGCCCAGGGCAACCACTAAGAGTCTTAAATGTCGAGGAGTTGATTTTAGATCTCGTCGAAGAAGATCCGCATCGTAGCACCAGAAATATTACACAACAAGTAAATATTTCGCATCTTGTTGTGTGGCGGACATGACTAGAAGCTCAGTGGTATTCATTTCATATTCAACGTGTTCAAGCGCTTACTACTGAGGATTTGCCATTACGATTGGTTGTTGTTTCAGGATCTTATTTGTGGAAGGGCGAAATGGGCGGTGACTAGTAGACGCCTTTTTTCTATGACTTACTTTATCGCTCTCATGTAACGGCCGATGGGGACTTTACGACCCTGTATGAAACAAATTCAACTAAAATATTTAAAATCTACATTCGATTCAAAACCGAATATTAAAAAATTGTTCACCTATGTTAGTACTACCTTTGTTTGAATAAATTAGCAATATCTAGGAAATACAATGTGTAAGTACAACATTGTTTCGTTCAAAATGTCACGCTAGAAAATTTAAAAGGTTCTGAAATTATACTATATTCATTAGAGTATGAAAATTTAGAATATTTGTTTGTACGATTATTAATTACAACAAACGCAAGATTTT